CGGTTCAGCTGACTGCCGTCTCCCGCAGTGCACGGAGGAGAAGGAGATGTTCGAGCTGCAGTGCCTGGCCCTGCGGAAGGACTCCAAGATGTACAAGGACCGCATCGAGGCCATCCTGCAACAGATGGCGGAGGTCGCCATCGAGCGGGACCAGGTAGGGGCCGCGCAGCTCTCCCGGACGCGGTGGCCTTTCAGGGATGCAGTTGTCAAGGTGGGTTTTCAGGGAGCACGGACAAAAGCAGTTCACGCTCGTTTGAAAACGTGAACGTTAATGAAGTGAATCCCCTTCCTCCACCTCTGCCCTACCTGCCGCCAGGAAGTCCACGCTCCACCTGCTGCCGTACCTGCCAGACTTTTTTCAGCACACGTGTAGTTTCATTTTTGTTTTATGAAAGTGGAAGCCTTCTGACTCGTTTTGCAAAGACTTCTTTCGCTTAAAAAGCCACGGGCGCCTTGGCCGGCTGCACTCCTCTGGGTGGGGAGGCGGCGCCCAGCGCGGGGCTGCACCTGCTTCTTCGTCTCCCATCACTTTCCTGTCACGGCTCGGGGTCGTTTCTGATCAGCCACAGCTGTCGCTTCAGTCACTTTCTGGAGGGTGACTGGCAATCTGTATCAGGAGCCTGAATAGGTAGATTCCTTTTCCCCGGCAAACCCACTTCTAGAAAGCCCTGTCATGGGAATAACAGAAACGCAGAGAAAGCCCGGCAGATGTGTGCTTCTCTCAAGGCCGTGGGCAGCAGTGCGGTCTGGGGCAGCAGGTGTGAAATGGGCACAGCTCACCCGACGGGACAGCTCCTTCCCGGAGCTGCCCGAGCAGAGCCCCCCTCTGCCTTGTGCATGGCCAGCAGGGGCGCGCAGCCTCCGGTGGCACCCAGGGCAGGCCACCCGCCCAGGGACGCTGGCGCCTGGCCGCCGAGGTGAGTGGCAGGGTCTTCTCTGGCGGGTCCCGAGTTGGAAGCTGGCACAGAAATTCAGGACGTCCTGTTACTAATCCAGCCCTGGCTGTCGGGGTCGATTGAGGCAGGGGTGTGTGTTAGCTCCTGGATCATTGCTGGACGCGAGGCTGGCTTCCTACAAGTGCGCCTCGCAGCCGCAGCCTCCTGAGCCGGTCACTGTAGGTCCAGTGACCTACAGTGGGCTGGCTACAGTAGGCTACAGTAGGTCGTGGGCTGGCCTCCTGGGCTGACCTCAGTGCCCCCGCCATGGGGGACTGGCTTGATAAAGCGTGGGGTGTTTATCTTAAAGAATGTTACACCGCTGCCAACAATCATGTTCTTGATATCAGGCTGTACCCAGGAAACATGAAACGCACGTGTGGGCACGTGAACACGGCTGAATGTGCCCAGAGAGCAGGACTTGAAGACCCTGCCGGGTCAGCAGGGGCTATTCTCAGGGGGTTTTAATCTTCTTTATATTTTCTGAACTGTCCACACTTTCCATCCTGAGCCTGTATTGCATTTACAACCCCCAAAACACGAATGACATCCTCGGATAAGAAAGGGGAAGAGGCCAGCGCTGCCCCACCCCCACCCCCACCCCCGTCCCCGGCCATGTTGCTGGAAATTCTCCCAGGAGCACTGCTAGAAATAAGGCAGACTGTGCCGAGAAGTGAGAGAGCCGAGAGGGCAAATGAAAGACCGGGGGGTTGCGGGGGACAGGGAGATGGGCCGCGCCTGCCCTGCCCTGCGCTGCCCCACAGGCCATCATGACGCGGGAGGAGCTGCACGCACAGCACGCCCGCAGCCTGCAGGACAAGGACGCGCTGCGGAAGCAGGTCCGCGAGCTGAGCGAGAAGGCGGATGAGCTGCAGCTGCAGCTGTTCCAGCGCGAGGGCCAGCTGCTGGCAGCAGAGGGCCGCCTCCGGCGGCAGCAGCTGGAGACGTCCGTCCTGGTGGGCCTCCCCCGGGGCCTTTACGGTGTCCCTCACTCAGAGAGAGCCATGGCTCTGCCACAGTGGGGCTCTGGGGGTGCGGCCACATGGGGGCAGGTGTGTCCCTAGAGACTGGGGCAGGTGTGTCCCTAGAGACTGCAGACCCCAGAGGAGGAGCCACCAAGGGGCCTGGGCCTGGCCTGGCTCAGCCACAGCTCTGCCACTGGCTCTGGCAGGTCCCCAGACGTTCCTGAGCACCTCCCTCCTCTGTAAGGTTGCCTGCCCACCGAGCCCTCGTGGAGGTGGGCTGCAGAGCTGGCATAGCTCAGGGCCCGGCAGGGTGTGGGGAGGCGGGGAGGGGCGTTCTGGCCAGGGGCCAGGCCCAGCCATGGCCTGGAGAGAGGCCTCCCTGGAGGGCGGGCTGGCCTGGGACCCCACCCCGTGCCCTCGAGTGGCTCGGTCTCCCCACAGCCTGCTGACCGACCCCTCTTCTGTGACCACAGAGCTCCGACCTAGAGGACGGCTCACCGAGGAACTCCCAGGAGGTGAGTATGACTCTGGGGGCGGGCCCAGGGACAGCCTCACCCCGGACTCCCAGCCATAGCCTCTGCCGGACCACAGCCCCACTGGGTCCCTCAGAAGCTCTGGGAGCTCAGCCCGCCACCGGCCATCCTCCCAACGCCTGGCTGGGCAGCGTAGGTCCCTCCCTGAGAAGCCGGCACAGGGGGTGACGGCGGTGGGGAGCGCAGCAGTGGGTGGGCAGCACTGAGGGTCAAGTCCAGTCCTGGCAGACTGGTGGTCTAACCAGTTGCCCTTCTCTCTTGGGAAGCTCTCGCTCCCCCAGGACCTAGAGGAGGACGCCCAGCTCTCAGACAAAGGTGAGGAGGCGAGCAGCCTGTCCCGGAGGATCTAGCTAAGGCCTCCTCCTGGCCGCAAGCGGGCACCCGTCCTGACCTTCAGCACGCACACCGCATGACGCCGGCGCCTGGGGACACGTGCCCCAGCCCTGGCCCACAGACCTCCACGACCCCACTTCACAGATGGGCACACTGAGGCTCAGAGGGATAAGCAACCCCCAAGGTTCCCCAGACAGCAAACAAGAGCCCCATTGGAACCCAGGGCCCAGGCTTGCAGGTCCACATCCCAGCTCCCACCCTGAGAACACGCCTGGCCATTGGAGCCCACTCAGGCCCCGGGACTGCAGAGTGGAGGCACCCCGCCCTGCAGAGCAGGGAGCTGGGGAGGTAGCCACTGCCAGGAAGTGGAACAGAGCGGGGAAGGAGGGACAGCTCAGGGTGACTCGGGCCTTAAGGTGGCAGGGGCGGGATCCTTCTGCCTGCCTGGGCACAGGACAGGGAGTGGCAGGTAGATGGCCCAGCGGGGATGACGGGGGGCTGGCTCTGAAGGTGGGTGTCAGACGGGAGTTTGGGGGGATGGGTGGTGGCGGGGGCGCCACCGCAGAGATAGTGTGTGAAGCCAGATGGACTTCCTCAGTGTCAGGCCCGACCCCAGCTTCTGGAGGGGGGCTGGAAGAGGAAGAGGCAGCAAATGGAGAAGTAAGTGGTTGGTCCCTCTGCTGCTGCCCAAAGACATGAACTTGAGGCCAGTGAGCCCCCACGTGGGGACAGGCGGGCAGGACCCGCAGGCAGCGAACAGGAGGGGAAGGCTGTTGGCCCAGCCGTCCTGGGAGCCCCAACCCAGGGCTGGTGTGGCCCCTCGTGGGAGGCGGGGCAGGCTTCAGGGTCAGAGGCCCAGGAGAAGGAGAAGACCCGGGCCCGGGCCTTTCCCGCCGCGACGTCCGCCGTCGCCCGTCGTGGACGGTTTAGGGGAGCCAGCCCATCAGAGCACTTTTTCTGTGGGTCCTGAGCCCTGGGCCCATCCGGGCCCTGGCAGATGTGGAGGGAGCCCAGCAGCCTGCAGTGTTCTGCTCCCAACGCTGCAGTGCCCCAGCCTCGGCCCCTGCCCAGGGACGGGGCGCAGCATCTGCTCCGGGAGCCAGGAGCGGGAATTGAGGTCTCTGAGCCCCAGTCCCCATGTCTATACAATGGGAATGCTTGCGGGGTCCAAGTAAGGACCCAGAAGGTAGGTGGCACAGGACTGGCCCGGGTTGGGGGGTAGAGGTACTGGCGAGCGCGATCCTGGCAGGTAGGCAGGACCAAAAGGTACAACCCTACCTTGCAGGCGGCCCAGCCATCGGGGAGAGCCCTGAGCAGCCCTTTGTGGCTCTGCAGAAGGAGCGGCTTTCACTGACCCCCGAGGTAAGGCTGCCTGGGGTCCCTGGAGCCCTGGGAGGCCCCTGGTGTGGGTCTCAGTGTGAATGATAACGAACGGGGAGAGTGGTTCCTCTACCTGGACGGCCGGGGGGTGATCACAAGGTCTCTGCCCGTGGGCTCCTGGGGTGTGGTGTTTTGGAATGTGAAGCTGAGCCCCCCTCCCTTCTTGGACGAAGCAGCGGGAGGGGGGCAAGGGGCGGGCCCATCTTCTGGATGGGGCGCAGCGTTAACCTGAGTGGAAACTCGGCCTCACTGTCCACTGCACGGGGCCCGACGGCAAGGGGGGCCGCACCGTACTCTGTAGTAGAAGGAACACTGGCCTGGAGCCCATCCCCGCTGGCTGTGCGTGCGTCCCAGGCCAGTCCCGTCATCTGAAAGGAGAGACCGCGCGCCCCGCCCGCCCGGCCCCCAGTGCGCAGCCCCAGGGGCGGGGGTGGGGCCCACGCGGGCGCTGGCCGGAGCCTGAGCCTCGCCCCTCCTGCAGGACGCAGGCCTGAGCGGCGGGGAGCCCCCCGAGAAGGAGAAGGGGCGGCGGCGTCTCAAGGAGAGCTTCGAGAACTACCGCAGGTGGGCCCGCGTGGGCGGAGGGCGAGGGGGGGCTGGGGAGCGGTGGCCCCGCGCCCACCTGCGCCGCCTGGGTCTCCCGCAGGAAGCGGGCCCTCAGGAAGATGCAGCACGGCGCGAGACAGGGGGAGGTGGACTGGGAGAATACCACGGGCAGCGACAACACCGACACCGAGGGCTCCTAGCCGGCCCCTCCGTCCAGCCGCACGTCGTGGGAGGACACGGCGCCACCTGGGAGCTGCCCCGCTAGGCCGCCTCTTCGTTGGCGAGCACGGGCTTGTTCTATCTCTGTGTGATGCACACGCGTGCCTCAGTGTTAAAAATGCAGCCCCGTCAATAAACGAGCGCGGTCCGGACCCCTCCGACGGTCTTGCTGCCGCGCGCACCCTCCGACCCCGCTCCGGCCAGCGCGCAACGCCTGCCGCCAGGGGTTAGCCGAGCGCGGCCCGCCGCCGGGACGGAAGCCGAGCAGGGCCGCTTCCATCGCGCGCCCGCTTCCGAGACGGCGGCGGTGTGGCCTCCGTGGGGCGGGGCGGGGCGGGGCGGGGCGGGGCGGTCTCGGCTGCGCGGGGCGGCCGGCGGGCGGCATG